GGCAAAGCAGCAGCAGCATCGTGAGGCGTCTGCGGCGCCGGGGCTCTGGTGCCGCGCTGAATTCCTGTGCACTGAGGCGCCCGCGGCAACCGGCGACCTGCCTCATCCTCCGCCGGGCTCCAGTGGAGACGCGCCTGTCTCGCAGGTAAGAGCCGCGAGGATGCGCCGGTTCTTCTCCGCGGCCAATCTCTCGTCTCTTACCAAGCCGCCCGCGCCGGGCACTGTTGCTCTGGTTTGCGGACTTGTCTCGCTGCGTTTGTCCAGCTGGGGCCAGTCCCTTTCTCCAGCGCGTTTGCAACTTTCTCCCTTTCTCTTCTGCGTCTGCATTGGCGCCGGGACAAAATGACATAAAGTTAGTGCCTAGCCGCTCGCTGCCCAGCCACGAAAGGGAAAGTGGCTGAGATAAAGCATCGGATTTTAAACAACTTCCCCCACCTCCCGCTGGAAGGCAGTTATTGGAGAAAGTTCCTGGTGACTAACTGGCCCTTGACATAGTCTTTAAGTACATGCTTTTGTCCCGCACCCAAAATGCATAGCCCTAAGGAATTTCCTCATATTGGTACATCTAAATTAATTCTACCCTTCAATCTTAAGGTCACGTATTAAATCCCTCTCTGGGAGCAACTTTCTCTCCGCCACAGACTTTACCACGAACTTTACAGGAGACAGGATAGTTTGTTGCTCTTTAAAAAACAAGATCGGGTTTGCTTCCACGTTAATTACCTTGTGGGATCCAGTGGCGATAAGAAGCTAATGCGGAAGTGGGGAAAAATGAGATGGTTTCCCACGTTTCAGCTGAGTTTTCTGGAAAAAGTCATCTTTATATATTTATTTCAGTAGCAAGATAGAGGTCTATGCTCTGCAAATTTGTGGAATTTATTTAAAGTAATATTTATTTTGCACGTCCATTCTGATGTTTTTGCAGAGTTCTTTTGACTCAAGTGATGATCAATGGAAATGCTATTCAAGAGCACAGACAGCTTCCATTGTAGCCGACAGGCTGTTATCGGAAAAAAGCATGCAACTTTAATCCAAATATCTCTGTCGCTAGAGGAGCTTACACGTGCATTACTGTTATTTCTTCCAGCATGAGGTAACAGGGAAAAATCAAGAATTAGAACACTATAGAGTAAAAACTATTCTCACGCTCTAAAATAAGAGATGTGCTTAGCTGTTAATATAGCTCATTTTTGGGTTACAATTAGTCTTATTTCCCGTTTCAAAATCTTGTTAGGTATGGTAGATTTAAATGTAAGTGGTGCCACAAACCTGTTCAAGTCAGACTATTGATTTTTGTCTTGCTTGGTTAGCTTGTCTTGCAGCTGCCTGTGTTTAAAGGTTACTGAGGTTAAAGAATCCAGTATGTTTTGGGATATTTGTGTTGAAACAAGATTCTGTTAGGCACCTCAGAGATTAAGAGGAGTCCTGGTCACTGGCCTTTCAGTGGAGAGGCAAGAAATTTGTAATGGAAGGATTTAAAATGTTTGTTCTAGACTTCCTTTATACCTTCCGTCATATTTTCTATGGACTTCTAAAGATCAGCTGAACTCTGGTTAGGTAGGGAGATTGGATGCCATGCTACAAGTGCAAACCACAGCAAGCATAACATGCTGCAGCACCCCACACCACCTTCTCTCTCCAGTGCAGATTTTCTCTCCCATTGTTCCTTTCCATACCTGAGTCAACAGTTCTCAGAAAAAGAGAAAATTAATTTGTTATATAAAACCAATTCTGGAAAACTCAAGTTGTGATTCAAATTATATACAGGTAATAGAATGTGATAGAGGAGACTGTGGTAAATGAAGTGGTTGGAACACAAGCTCTCTCAAACAGACAATAAATCTTTAAGCCTGATGTAAATTAGATCTGTTCAACCTACAGGAGTTCGATTAAACAAAGCAGCTCTCATTGAACCAGTTCTACAGTGGTGCTCCTGTCAATGTAAGTTGCCTACTACATAGACTTTGGTTATGGTTACACTGTACTCTAAGGCTGTGTCTACATTGGCGTGATCTTGCACCAAAGCGGCCGCTTTTGTGCAAAAACATGCTGCCTGTCTACACTGGTGGGGAGTTCCTGCACAAGAACACTGACGTTCTAATGTGTGAAATCAGTGCTTCTTGTTCAAGAACTATGATGCTCCCGCTCAGGAATAAGCCCTCTTGCGCAACTGTTCTTGTGGAAGAGCCCAGTGTAGATAGGCAACATGAATTTCTTGCGCAAGAAAGCCCGATGGTTAAAATGGCCATCAGAGCTTTCTTGCGCAAGAGAGTGTCTACACTGGCACGGATGCTCTTGCGCAAAAGCACATCTCTTGCGCAAAGGCACATGCCAGTATAGACGCGCTCTTGCGCAAATACTTTAACACAAGAACTCTTGCATTAAAGAGTATTTGCGCAAGATCATGCCAATGTAGACGTAGCCTTTGATGGGAGAGAGCTCTCCTATAGATTTAATTATTCCGACCCCCACAAACTGCTATAGCTATGTTGGTGGGAGAAGCATAGGTCTATGTAATTTACCACTCCAGGGTGGCTTATTCACACCCCTGTGCAAAAAAACTTATATTGATGTGTGTGGTAATGTGTCTTAATAAATCCACATCCATGAGAAACATAATGCTTTAGTCCAGAGATGAGCAATACAATGGCAGCAGTTCACCAGGGTTACTGCCTCTAGATTTACCTGTGCTTCCTCAGGTATGGGCAATCACAGTTCTCATTGGCTGAAAATGGCAATCCATTGCCAACGGGAGCTGTGATCCCCTGTACCTGTGGAGGTTTCGGTAAATATGTCAGTGTGGAGGCCTACCAGAGGCTAACCCTGGTGAACTGGATCCACCCTGCAAGTCAGTATTTGCACACCCCTGCTTTAGTTGATGTCATTAGGGTGATGCAATATCTGTGACGACACTATTATGTTCATTGTCTGTTGGCTGTCAGCATCCCAGGGAGGCTGACAGCTGGAGGTCTTCCACCCTCTTCCCCATTTGTGAGCCTGAGGAACCCAGGTGCAGGTCCTCCAGTTGTGAGCCTGGTGCCCAGCAGATAATTCAGGTTATTATTTCTGGGGTAAGGAGGCTCCAGCTTTGAGCCCTATGCCTGGGTGGGGAGGGCAGGTGTTCCACTTATTAGTTCCACAATGCCCCTCTTCATTTGGTGGAAGTACTCCTAGCAAGGATGCACATTGCTGACAGAAGAATCATTGTGTGCATGGGATGTTAAGAGGTTGATATTTAATTAATGGAATAGTGTTGATAGAATTTTTATCAACTACTTGGTTAGTCAATAGGCAGCTGGGCTCAGTTCCAGCTCATGCCAGGTGCAGGACCAAACCCCACTGCAGCTCTGTAATTTAGAAGGCAGTAGGAGTTGGGCAGCCTGCCCCCTGATTCCTACTTCTTTTTAAATTGCAGCTCCACAAAGGGGTTTGGTCCCACACACAACACAAGCTTGGACTGAGCCAGGCTGCCTGCCCAGCCAGCAGCAGCTCCTGCCTGTGGGGGTAGAACGGGGGATGGGCAGCACTATGGAGATGGTGCTGGGGGAACCAGCTTTTAAGCCACCCAAACTGGCTCCTGCTCCTCCCCACCCCAACTTGCTGCCTCTGGGTATGTCTACACTACCCCGCTAGTTCGAACTAGCGGGGTAATGTAGGCATACCGCACTTGCAAATGAAGCCTGGGATTTGAATTTCCCGGGCTTCATTTGCATAAACGGGGCGCTGCCATTTTTAAAACCCTGCTGGTTCGAACCCCGAACTAGGTGGAATGAGGAGTAACGGTAGTTCGAACTAGGAAGCCTAGTTCGAACTACCTAGTTCGTGCCCCGTGTAGCCGCAATGCACGGGGTTCGAACCAGCGGGGTTTTAAAAATGGCGGCGCCCAGCTTATGCAAATGAAGCCTGGGAAATTCAAATCCCGGGCTTCATTTGCAAGTGCGGTATGCCTACATTACCCTCCTAGTTCAAACTTGGAGGGTAGTGTAGACATACCCTCTGATACAGAGGCAGCAAGGAAGGGGACAGCTGCCTCAACGGCATTGTGAGTGCTATCATGGCATCCATATTATAAAATTCATAGTATATCACTGTAATATTTTCTATTACATTGTGCTTGATTTTGAAATTCCATACTTATTGCTTCTCAGGATCAGGTTTTATTTCCTCCCTCCACCCCCTCAAATGAGAAAATGTAATGTGCTAGTTAGCATAGTCATCAACTGAACAATCCTTCTTTACAACAGGCAGTGCAGGCCAGTATTAGTGCAGAGTCCATATTCATAATTCCACATACAAACATCACACAAGTATATGAGTCCAGTCCTACTTGTTTGACTCACAGGGGTATTCTAAATTATGTGTAATGAGGAAATATGTTTGAGTGGGTAAGTCAGGAGACTTAGTCTTGGTTGACACTGGGAATTTAGGTTGTTTTTTCTAAACAAGTCCACACCAGCAAACCTGTTCCATCGACTTTGAGGGCTGTTACAGTTGATTTCTGTACTCCTGCTTTCATGAGGAATAACTTCTAAATTTGATCTTGAAAGGTCACTTTATAAGTTGATTTTTGGCCTCCGGGAGGTATGATGGACTGGGCTGGATCTGGGCACCGCTGAGGGCGTCCACTCAGGGCGAATTGCTCAAAACCAGGGCTGCTTACAGCCCCAGGCTGGAGACCTTTCCCAAACAGGTCACAAACCAGTCACACAGAGCGCTTCAGCTGCCAGTCCAGCCAGCAGAAAGCCTCATGAGCAAAACCCCTCAGACACACCAGCTCTCCCTGTACCACAATCAGCCCCCAGCTTTACGCACAGGTGAGGGGTTATAGAACCCAATCTCACCTACCCTAAATGGGTCCTCCCAATTCCAAAGAACCAGCCACAGATTCCTGGTCAGTTTACACTTTGCATCTTACCTACAAGATCATGATGGGCCAATTCTTTAGAATCTAAAATCTAAAGGTTTATTAATGAAAGAAAGAAAAGCTTGAGAGTAAGGTTATTAGGGAGAATATATTACATGTACCAATCACCAAGTTCTTGATGCAGGCTCTCAGCAGAGATGTTATAAACTGCTAGCTTTAAAGTCTCTGATGTACATCCTATGTCAGGATGGGTCAGCAACCCTTCTTGGCTCTCTGTTCCTTGAAAGGCTGCATCTAGGATCAGTAGCAAAATTGAAGACAAAATGGAGTCCGCCTCGTGGCACTTTATATCCTTTCCTGGTACCTTCCAAGCTGGAGCGGGTCACATGGTCAAGTGACCTATCCTTATACCCCATGACAGCAGCCATGATATTGACTGGTTTGCAGGTTTCCAGACACATTCCTCAGGTGTGTATTGGCCACCTTGAGAGCCATTGTCCTTGGGGACTGTGCTAGTTAGCATAGTCATCAACTGAACAATCCTTCTTTACAACAGGCAGTGCAGGCCAGTATTAGTGCAGAGTCCATATTCATAATTCCACATACAAACATCACACAAGTATATGAGTATCATACATAGAATCAATAGAACATAAGCTTTCATTTGACACCCCACATGGCCCCCTTTGTATGGACTTCGGGGCAAACACAGCCCCCATGGGCGCAGCAGTGATCTGGCTGCTCCCCTTAAAATCCAGTAACATTACAGGAGGTGTCCCACAGTGTTCTGTGTGGTAACCCCTATGACCATGACTTTCAACTCTGCTGCTCTCCAGGTGAACAGGAAAAGCCCTAGGAAAATTGGAATTTCACTTCCTGTGTTACCAATATGGAGAGCAGACCTAAGAACAGACAGCACACATGAGCAGCACACTGACCATGAGATCCATGAGTTGTTCTTCGAGTGATTGCTCATGTGCATTCCAACATAGATGTGCATGCGTAGTGTGCACGTGTCGTCGGAAGATTTTCCCTCAGCAGTACCCTTAGAGCCAGAAGGGAGCCCCCTACAGTGGCACCCTGCTGGCTTCCTCCCCACTCCAGTTCCTTCTTACTGACGGTCGGTCTTTGGATCAAGCTCAGCTCTCCTCGAGTTGTGCTTTCACTTGCTAATTCTCCATTACTTATCTCAGTACTTCAGTTAATTACCTTAAAGATTCTCTTTGTTGTCCTCTCCACCCAGCCGCGGCACTTGAGGTGGACGATGCCAAGCCATAAGGGCTTCAAACCCTGTAAGAAGTGTGGTAAGCCCATGCTCTGCAGAGACCCACACTCTTCCTGTCTGAAGTGCTTGGGAGAATCGCGCACAACATCAGCGTGCAAAATCTGCAAAGCCTCCCAGCCCAGCACTAAGCGAGAGCGTGAGTCTTGCCTCCGGGCACTCCTAATGGAGTCAGCTCTACGGCCGGCACCAGCACCGGCCACAGCACCAGACACTGGAAGTGCACCGGCCTCGGTGTGGGACACGTCGACGCGTCGTCCTTCCTCAGCACCGCGGAGGGCCTGGCACCGATCCCACTCGCCGGTGCTGCCTAGGAAGAGGCGAATGAACAGGGGCCAGTCTCCGATTGGGCACGCGCCCTTCGTACGCTCCTCGGTGGGGCACGTGGCGCCTGACAGCCCACATCCTAGCTTTCAAGGTCGGACGCTTATTTGTCCCGGTGGTGGGCCGAAAGACACGAGGGCCATGCTTAAATCGCTGGGCCTGCACACCCTGGCCACGCAAAGGCATTCCTTCGTGGGTAGGAGTGCCACTAGGGTGCCTTAGTATGTAAGGACCTCACAGCTATGTGGGGAGAGTAATGTGTTCTTGCAGAACTATGACCCAGCAAAAGAAGCACAGAGATCTATGCCAAGATTGCAAAGGGCATGAAGGGGAAAGGATATGCCAGGGACACCGAGCAGTGCAGAGTGAAAATAAAGGAGCGGAGGCAGTCGTACCAAAAGACAAAGGAGATGAACAGATGGTCCGGAGCATTGCTGCAAACATGCCACTTCAATGAGCAGCTGCATGCAATCCTTGGGGAAGACCCAACCAGCTTGCCTAGCAGGTCCATGGATTCCTCCCAAAACACTCAGGCAGCAGCATGGGGAAAAAAGGGCATAAAAGACTGCTTGCTGTTGCTCTGAAACAGGAGGGTAGAAAGGAAATCAGTGCATTATGGGATGCTGAGGATATGTACCAGAGCCACCTGCTGCACAGTTTTCGTCTCAGCATGCACTAGGAACATAACCTAGAAATCAAAGGGGCATAGGCACTGTGAGATTGATGCACTGTGGGTAGCTGTCTCAAACTTGAGGATAGCCAGCCTACTGGGGCTGTGCTATTTTAAACTACATTGAATTTTTGCACACTGTGGGGACATGAACCCGCAACTTTACAAAACTGGGTGCTAAAAAGTCAACCTTAATAAATTCAACTTTATCTCATAGTGAAGACATGGCCTTAGGTGCTGTTCCTGGCTCGGGCAGCTGACCTGTTCATGAGAGTGCTTTCCCTTTTTGTGCTTCAATTTGGTGCTTTTAGCAGAGTGCTTTGATATCTACTATGGCTGTCAAACAATTAAATACATCATTAATTGTGCTGTTAAAAATAATAGTAAACCATTTATTTAAATATTTTCAATGCTTTCTATATTTTCAATTACAATACAGAATACAAAGTGCACAGTGCTCACTTGATATTTTTATTACAGATATTTGCGTGATAAACAAAAGATAGTATTTTAATTCACCTAATACAAGTACTGTAGTGCAATCTCTTTATCATGAACACTAAACTTACAAATGTAGAATTAGGTACAAAATGTAGAATTAGGTACAAAAGTAACTTAATTAAAATATAAAACAATGTAAAATGTTAGTGCCTAGAAAGGGAATCCACTCAGTCCTATGTGTGCAGCCAATCACTCGAACAAATTTGTTTACATTTGCAAGATATAATGCTGTAATCTTATTGTTTACAATCTTATCTGAAAGTGAGAACCAGCTTTCCTATAGACCTTTTTAGTAGACTTGGCAAGATATTTACATGCCAGATTCAATTAAGATTCGTGCTTCTGTTACCCCAGAGTCTCAGTAAAAAGCATAATCTTTTGAATTAATTTAGAATTTAGGATAAGGGATCTGATTGATGATGTTAAATGCTCTGGTTACCAGAAGGGAGGCCCTTGATACCGTATCTGATCACCGGTGATTTCTCCCCCCTCAAAAAACCACGCTTGGAGTCCAGATTAGAGTTCACTAATATTGTAGAATTTAATTTGACAAGTGCATGAACAAGAACAAAAAACAACAACTAACAAATCCAACCCCCACTCCAAAACAGAAGAGAATGAAGACAGAAAGACCCCAATACAGGTAAGGTATTTGTACGTTACAACAGTCTCTGTGTTGCCAATCGTGGTACTGGTGCTTGTGATCTGCTACTTTTGGGCTCAGGTTAGCCCTTAGGGAGGAACCGCAAGTGATCCTTCGCAGTTCTGGGATGATTTTCGTTTGGCCTTCACCACAACGGAGTGTTTCACGGATGGTGATGATGTGATGGTCCGAGACAGGTAGAGATCAAACACCTCTGCTTGGTGTATCCCAGATCACCAGTGCTGAGCCTCCACCACAGCATGGTGTGGGAATCCACCGCAGTTGGGAATGATCCCTCTGTGGTGCTGTGCTGCCTTCACAGACACAGACCGGAACACTGCCCACCCACACCTGGGGGCAGGACTTTTTTTTCCTTTTAGAACCTTTGGCAGGGAAACTGTAAACTTGTGTAGGGTGGTGTGCACAATTCCGGGCTGGGTGCAAAGGATCTTGTGTGCCTAGTGCAATTTTGGTACTGAGTGCAGACACTCAAGGGCTACGTCTACATTGGCCCCTTCTCCGGAAGAGGCATGTTAATTTCCAACTTCAGAATAGGGAAATCCGCGGGGGATTTAAATATCCCCCGGGGGGATTTAAATAAACATGGCCGCCGCTTTTTTTCCGGCTTGGGGAAAAGCCGGAAAAAAGCGTCTAGACTGGCGCGATCCTCCGGAATAAAGCCCTTTTCCAGAGGATCTCTTATTCCTACTTCAAAGAATAAGAGATCCTCCGGAAAAGGGCTTTATTCCGGAGGATCGCGCCAGTCTAGACGCTTTTTTCCGGCTTTTCCCCAAGCCGGAAAAAAAGCGGCGGCCATGTTTATTTAAATCCCGCGGGGGATATTTAAATCCCCCGCCGATTTCCCTATTCTGAAGTTGGAAATTAACATGCCTCTTCCGGAGAAGGGGCCAAAGTAGACGTAGCCAAGGTGGGAGAAGTTTAACTGACTTTCCAGAAACTCCATTTTGTTTTCCAAAACTCCATTTTGTTTTTACTTACTGATGGCATCAACCGCTCCTCTAAGTGTGCACGTTACCTACATCCTATTTACAACAATTACATTACATTATAAACATTATAAACAAATCAACATTATAATACCACTCTAACATTTCAACCACCATCCTAGAGGACACGTGTCCATGCTAAAAAAGGGATCTGCTCAATAATCATCCAAAGCTGTTCAGCCCATGTTAAGTTTCATTATCTGAGGACCCTAGCAAAACCTTATTATTTTTTTCTTTTTGGTAGTTCAGATTCTGTAGTTTCTGCATCACAGAAGTTTATGCAACTTCTTAAGCACTTTTAAAACTTCTGAAAGCATGCTCCACACTTCATTCCTCTTAGATTTTGGAAGGCACTTCAGATTCTTAAACCTTGGGTAGAGTGCTGCAGCAACCTCTAGAAATCTCACATTGGTACCCACTTTGTGTTTTGTCAACTCTGCAGTGAATGTTCTTAAAATGACATGTGCCACATCATCTTCTGAGACTGCTGTAACATGAAACATATGGCAGAATGAACATAAAACAGCAGAAGACATGCAATTCTGCCCCTTAATTTATGCATTTTTAAAGAAGCATTAGCAGCATGGAATCATGTCTTCTGGAATGGTGGCTGAAGCATAAAGAGGTATATGAACGTATACAATATCTTACATGTAAATACCTTGCAATGCCAGCTACAAAAAGGCCATGCAAATGCCTGTTCTTGCTTTTAGGTGACATTGCAGATAAGAAGTGGGCAGCATTATCTCCCATAATGCAAATAAACTCGTTTGTCTTAGCGACTGGCTGAGCAAGTAAGACTGAGTGGACCTGTAGGTGCTAAAAGTTTTACATTGTTTCATTTTTTAATACAGTTATGTAACAAAAATTCTTTTCAGGTAGTCCCCATGAGTGCTCCACATCTGGTGTCGGGCTGGTCGCAGCGCCGCAAATCGGAGCTTGCCAGAGCTGTATTCAGTCAGACCGCACATGCGCGAGCAGCTTTCACGCCTTTCGTCTGCCGCACGCGGTCCGGCACCGGCTAGTTCCTCTCATCCGCCCCTGGTCACAGACGGAGCACCCTTCAACTCTCATGTTACCTGAGTGAAAGTTTAAGAAAGACTTAGAAAATAATTTCTTTAGCCTTGCTGTTAATTACTTGGGTCCTCCATTACTATTAAGTAACAATAATAACCCGTTACTTAATGTTTATAGTTATAAACTTGGGTCTCAGCTACTGTTGCTGCTATAGCCCTTAGTCCAACCAGAAGAGAAACAGTTACTAATTGTATATAGTTATAGTGTCTGTTCCTAGCTACTGTTGCTGTTACAACCCTTAGTTCAGGGCTTCTTCTTAAAAAACAAAAACAAAAAACCCCACACACACCAGAAGAAAAAGAAACATTTCTTCAAGTTAAACATTTTTAGACCCTGTTTTAGTTACTGTTAAGCTCATTAGTTTCCCGGACTTCTTATCTTAAAAAAAAAAAAAAAAAAAGAGACAGAAGGGAAGAAGGAGAAGCAAAGCAAGGACACATAAAGAGGGGCAAAGAGAGGCCCCTCTCAAAAGGTCAAAATGCCAGGCTCCCCTGGCTTTAAGAAATGTTCCATGTGCAGGGAGTCAATGCTGATCTCCGACGACACTCTGCTTGTGTCCGTTGCCTTGAGGAGGCACATATCCCTCAGAAATGCAGTCACTGTGCTAAGCTGACGACCAGAGCCTGCAAGGAGCGGGAGCGACGTTTGAAGGAGATCCTGTTTGATAAGGCTCCTCTGCCTTCTAATAAAACAGGCTCCTCTGCATCGGACCCCACTCCAGAAAAGCGGAGGGCTCCTTCCCTGGCTATGGCTTCCCCAAAAAGGAAGAGAGCCTCTCCTGCTCATTCCCTGCCAGTTGCCCCGCAGTCGCGGGTGAGAGCAGATGATAAGCCTGGCTCCAGGATAGCCTGTGCACCCATTTCAAAAAAGCTGACCGGCACTTCCCGGTCCTGGCCGCCTGCAGCACCACACGCAGCAGAAGGGCTTCTTAAAGGGACAGCTCCATTGGCACCAACGCTCCAGGCGCCAGTTTCTCCGATACCTGCAGTCACTCCTCCTCACAAGGAGCTGTCTTCAGTACCACTGGCACCCGCAGTACCTATTATTGAACAGATGCCTGCATCATCGCAGTCAGCTGAGCCTCCAAGCTCGCAGCCTGCATGCTCTGAGCAGCTAGCAGCAGCTTCTACTAAATCAAATTCCCAGGCAATTTCTCTCTCCTCCTCCCCTGTCTTCTCTCCAGAGCCATCCCCTCACCCTTCTACTTCTGCATACCATACAGAATATCATAGGCAAAGTATATCATCTCGCCACCATTACTACAGGGAACGTAGCTGCTCACATCACAGATACTCTAGATCTCAATCCCCTTCAAGATGCTCGCGCTCACCGATCTGCTCACTATGGAGTACTTACTACATCAGGCACAGCAGCGCTAGGTCCTTACTTGCAGGCTCAGTGCATGTAACGTCGATCAATCATAGACCCTACTACTGTGAGTCATCTCATCATAGCCGCTTGTGATCTCACTGCAGATTACCATGCTCCTGTTGGTCGATCAGCCCACGCTCAGTACATTCTGAACTTCAGAAGTAGTCTCCACTCCGAGCCATGCTACCTCCACATTCTCCAGCCCCTCAGTCACAACAATCAGACCTGGAGGAGGGGCAACTGTCAAATGGAACCAGACCTGTCTCCTAATGCCCGCTCCTCCGTGCCCTCGCCGGGTGAAGCAGTAACTCTGGCCAAGACGTCACTTCCCAACGACCTCAAGGAGTTCCAAGACCTCTTTAAACGTGTTGCGCAATCCCAGGAGGTACAACTTACTGAGACCCAGGTGAAACAGCATAAGCTGTTCAAGAATTTACACCCTAACCATCAGCGAAAGATTGCCCTCTCAATAGATGAGGCTATCATGGAGGTATCTGAGGAAATCTGGCAAACGCCAACATCGATACCATCTACCAACAAAAAAGCAGACAAGAAATATTTTGTTCCATCCAAAGGGTTAGACTTTCTTTTCAATCACCCACAGCCTAACTCCCTGATAGTGGATGTGGTCTGCCATAAGGGTAAGACACCCTGCTTCAAAAACTCCCTCCCTGAAAAGGATTCTAAGAAATTAGACTTATTCGGTCATAAGATCTACTCTTCCTCAACCTTACTCCTCCAAATTGCCAACTACGCTGCCCTCTTATCAAACCATAATTTTGACACCTATTCCAAGCTTCCGGAACTTATGCAACACCTCCCCGACAACAAGAGTCCTTTTCTAAAAGCTGTTATCCAAGAGGGGTACATTGCATGCAGAACATCGCTTCAAATCGCTGTCGATGTGGCAGACACGGCTGCACACGAGCCATGGCAACAGGTCTGGTTCCATGCGGAGAGCCTCCTGGCTATTGTCAGCGGGAACCCCTAGAGAATTGCAGTCTAAGGTTGAGGATCTACCGTTTGACTGACAGAAGCTGTTTGCCTCCACTGCCAATGAGATTCTCCATTCTGAGAAGGACTCTCGTACTACTCTCCGAACTCTGGGTATGTACATGCCGCCTTTCAGGCACAGGCGATACTACCCCTTTCAAAGGAGGTACGATTACTCATCCTATAAGCAACAGCAACACGGACCTGACCAATCTAGATTTAGATAGTGTCCTAAATGCAAACGCCAGCAGCAGAACCATCCATCAACTCGACCTGCTCCTAAACAGCAGGTTTGACTTCTGTGCCAAGGACTCAAACACGTCTCCTGTGGTCAACACACAAAAGTCTGCCACCAGCCTGTTCCATCATCGGCTAAGGCCATACTTTCATCAGTGGGTCAGCATTACCTGGGACCGATGGCTTCTACAGGTGATAACATCAGGCCTCACAATCCCATTTACCTCAGTTCCCCCCACGTGGAATTTCGGGGGAAAGGCTTTTACTCCAGGTATTTCCTAGTCCTCAAAAAGTCCGGGGGTTGGAGACCTATCCTCAACCTGAGAGGCCTAAATCATTTCACTTGAAAGCAGCGCTTCAAGATGACCACGCTGGCCAAGATCATACCAGCATTAAACAAGGGAGACTGGTTTGCAGTCCTAGATTTACAGGACGCATACTTCCAGGTCACAATACACGTCGCTCACAGACAATTCCTATGGTTCGTAGTGGGGGACGAGCACTTTCAATACAAGGTACTTCCGTTCGGCCTTGCCTCGGCACCAAGAGTGTTCTCCAAAACACTGGCAGTAGTGGCTGCTCATCTATGCAGAACAGGGGTCTCAATTTTCCCCTATCTCGACAATTGCCTGATCAAAGGTCACACTCAGTCAGAGACTCACCACATGGTAACTGCAAATTGGGCTCTATTCAACTCCCTCGGCCTCATTGTAAACATGCAAAAGTCGCGGCTAAAACTGACGCAAACCCTAACCTTCATAGGAGCTCGACTTGACTCCCTGTCAGAGAGAGTTCATTTGCCAGCCAAGCATTTTCAAGTCATAAAAGACTTAATAAGAACGGTCCTGCAATCTCCAACACTCCCAATACGTGTATACCTGCAGCTCTTGGGTCATAGGCAGCTACTACAATCATCGTGCATCATGCAAGGTTACATCAGCGGTGCCTGCAGCACTGGCTGAGCACGGTATACAATCCCGTCAGACACAGTACCCGCAAAACCGTGGTGCTGCCCGCACACGTCAAGGAGTCTCGGCATTAGTGGACCAACTCCAACAACACGTTGTCAGGAGTTCTTTTCACGTGGCACAGCCATCAAGGGAGATAACCACAGACGCTTCTCTCATCGGCTGCGGTACCCACATGGGTATGGAAACAGCTCAAGGCCATTGGTCCATGGCGGACATGATGCTGCATATCAACCTCCTCGAGCTGCGAGCGGTGTTCCATGCCTGCAGACAGTTCAGGATGCACATAAAAGGCACGACAACCAGAATTCTCACCGACAACATCATTACGATGTATTATGTGAGCAGGCAAGGAGGTGTCTGGTCCCGGTCCCTTTGTACAGAGGTGGTCCTCTTGTGGAGGTGGTGCATTCGAAACAACATTTTTATCATGGCATCATACTTACCCAGTGTGAACAATACCATTGCGGATGCACTGAGCAGACACTTTCATCAGGTTCACGAGTGGGTGATCCGCACGGATGTCCTCCTACCTCTCTTCCATCGCTGGGGTTGTCCAGTGATAGATCTGTTTGCCACACGTGCCAATGTGAAATGCAGAGCATACTGCTCCAGAGCAGGAGTGGGCACCCACTCCCTAGGAGACGCATTTCTCCTCCACTGGGGGACATCACTATTATATGCATTCCCCCCAGTTGTGCTCATTCCCAGGGTACTCAAAGATCATCATGGACAAGGCACGATTGCTACTCATAGCCCCAGCCTGGCCCAGGCAGCCATGGTACTCAACTCTCCTGCAGCTGTCCATATGAGCACCGTACCAATTTCTTTATCTACCAGACTTGGTGACTCAACAGAGCGGCTTCCTTCTTCATCTGAAGCTAGACACTCTGCACCCAACGGCGTGAATGATAGATGGTTCAGCACATCTGAGAATCTTTGCTCAGACCAGATGAAGCGCATCTTGCTAAACAGCAGGAAAGACTCTACTAGGAAAACCTACCTGTCCAAATGGTCTAGATTCACGCGCTGGTGCGCTCCTAAGGACCTAGACACTCTTATCTCACCACTGCATGCCTTACTGGACTATATCCTCCAGCTACAGGCGACTGGACTCTCCATATCATCACTTAGAGTCCACGTGGCAATTGCGGCTTTTCACCACCCCGTTTGCTGTGTTCTGAAACTTTACCAGCATTTTCATTGTATAGGTCATACTAAACATTAAATTATGAGTTTTTGAACTTTAATATTGTCTCCTGAAGTTCTCTATGAAAAATAGCATTTCATCTATGAAATAGTTAGTTAAGAGCATGATTGTAATATTACAAAGTTACTAATCTTGGTATTCAGCAAAAATAAAGAAAGTTTCTTTCAATATTATTTAGCAATCAGCTTCTTTGTATTACGGTAACTAGTACATTAGTATTTTTCCCTGTGCTTTTACAAGAGGAGAGGAGTCAAAATTATATAAAACTACTAAAAGGTTTCTTTGTATGTTTCCTCCTGACTTCTAATATCTAGGAAAGACTTCCCCAAGAGCTCCATGCAGTTAGAGAAGGAAAGGTAGAGCCGGACATTATCTATGACAGATAATCTGACCAGAAGTAGAGTTGCTTGAGCTAAAGGCCTAGAAATCAGTTGTCTTCAAATGAACTTGAAAAAGAAGCATATGCAGCTAGACCTGTATTACCATTAGGAGCTAGTTTACAGTCCTATTGTAATTTAAAATTACCGTCATATTAAATACATCAGTTAATACCATAATTTGATGCCACTATTAGGTCCCTACTAAATTCATGCTCCATTTTGGTCCATTTCATTATCATAGAATTTTTAAAATGGTAAACTTCATGATTTAAGCTATTTAAATCTGAAATTTCATGTTGTTTGTAGGGATCCTGACCCAAAAAGGAGTTCTATGCGGCTGCTGGCAGCTGCACTGCCTTCAGAGCAGGAAGGCCAGGAATCCTGGCCTAAAGAAATCCAAAGGTAGGTTCAAATCAGGCTCTGAAGGCAGTGCTATAGACAACAGCAGCACAGAAGTAAGGATAACATGGTACAGTATTGCCACTATTACTGCCTGCAAAGCTGGTCACTCAGTAGTCACCACTCTCTGGCCACCCAGCTCTGAAAGCAGCAGTACAGAAGTAAGGGAGAAATAGACATGGTATTGCCATGCTTACTTCTGCACTGCTGCTGGTAGGTGCTGCCTTCAGAGCCGGATGCCTGGCCAGCATTACAACCACTGCTCTCCAGTTGCCCAACTATGAAAGCAGCACAGAAATAAGGGTACCACTATCATGATCCTCATAAAATAACTTTGTGATTCTCTTGCAACTCCCTTTTTCAGAAACACTGGTCTCCCCCCGTAAAAACTGTATAGTATAGTATAGTAAAAGCAAACAAAAGGCCAGATTTCAAGGTGTATAATGCATTTTGCATGGCTTTGAATTTGCTTGGGTTCTAATCATTATATAGAAAACAATGTAATCCAAGTTATGTCAGCTGTAAAAATGAAAAAGGACACATTTGAGAATTTTTATTTCTCTTACATTATAAATACACTATTTTAATTGTTTTAAAAATTGTCTGTGTTAAATGTATATTGATTCTTTTTTAATATTTTGAAGTAATTCACCTCTTCTGGGTTAAACAAAAAATTACTTTTAGTTGTATCTTAAATCTAAATAAAACATTTTTCACTTACAGGAGACATTGTTTTTATTTAATCTTACATTGAACTTATATCCAACTCATGAAGTAAATCACAAATGTTTTACTTTTGTTCTTATCAGGTTTTTCTTTCTTTTAGAGTTGATGATATATGTTGAAGCACTTGATCCTTCTCAGCCCACTGAGCCCCAAGATGGATAAGACATACTGTATGTCACCCAATTATTGCTATTTCAGCCTAAGAAGTGTATTTTCAAAGCAGCACAAGGAAGGTAATGTACACTCAGAATTACTGTTTTGTATTACATGTGTTTACAAAAGGGTATGTCTACACTACATGGCTCCATCAACGGAGTCATGTAGATGAGCTTTGTAGACATAGCAAAATGAAGTGGCAATTTAAATAATTGCCGCTTCACTTACATAAAAATGGCTGCCGCGCTGTGCCGATCAGCTGTTTGGCAGCACAGTGCGGTGGTCTGGACGCTCCGCAGTTGACATCAAAAGCAAATTAAAATAATTGCCGCTTCACTTACATAAAAATGGCTGCCGCGCTGTGCCGATCAGCTGTTTGGCAGCACAGTGCGGTGGTCTGGACGCTCCGCAGTTGACATCAAAAGCCTTTGTCGACCACCCCAGTAAACCTCATCCCATGAGGCATAACGGGGCGGTCAACAAAGGCTTTAGATGTCGACCGCAGAGCGTCCAGACCACCGTGCTGTGCCGCCAAACAGCTGATTGGCACAGCGCGGCAGCCATTTTGATGTAAATGAAGTAGCGATTATTTAAATCGCCACTTCATTTTCCTATGTCTACAAAGCTCATCTACATGGCTCTGTCGATGGTAGTGTAGACATACCCTGATTTTCATAAGTCTTTAATGTCTAGTTCTTAATATAGAAATATTTATTAGTATTTGATTGGTGTTCCATTAATTTTTATATACATTCTTGATTAATTGAAGTTTTTTTGGCATTGTGGTCTTCTTAAAAAGTTTGTGAAATGTGATATTGTATCTAATACTAATATGACAAAATACTGTAGGATTACTTCTGATCTTGTTTCCACTGATATATACTAGGAATAGTTCCCATCTGACTAGAACTGTCAAATGAGTGAAATCAGTGAAAATCTCATGTACTGAGTTTAGAATCACTTTTGTATACTGTATGTACGCTGATCATACATCCTGATTTTTCTGGGACTGTCCTGATTTTAAGTACTCTGTCGCGGTGCCCCATGAAGTAGTGAAATGTCCTGGAAAGCCATCGGACATTTCACTACTTAATGGGGACACGGATTTGCGGGAAGAAGTGACTGAGTCCATTGCTCCTGGCATGGCATGGCGCAGCGCAGCAGCAGAGTCCTCCCTCCCCGCTGCAGAGCTCAAAGATTGGAGCTTTGCCAACTGCGGTGGGCTTCTGGTGGCATAAAATTCTGCCACTCCACCATCCACTGCCCCACCACCATGCAGCCCCCTCTCTACTCCACAGGACTGCCTCTGTCTCACAGGGCCTCCGGTCCGGCCACATGGCCTCCTTCTCCACATTTGCAGGTAGTGGCTTGTTACAGTGGCCACTGCTGCTGGAGAGAGGTGTGGTCAGGTCCAAGGCAAAAGGTGCTGAGTAGCTGCTCCTGGACCTCAGTGCTTTTGAATTGTTTTTTGAGCGCTGGCAGGGGCTGCGCAGAACCCAGGAGAGGCACTGCCACCCCTTCAGGGCGTGCTTGGGTTTGGTGCCCCCCGGTGTGCTGCCGCTCTCTCTCCCCTGTGCACCTCTCCACCCTGCTGGTATAATGGCAGCAAGCCTGGTCTGGTGGGGAAGATGGGGTTTCTTCACACACCCCTACGCCCTCTCAGGAGGAAGCCTAAACTGGTGCTGCAGGTCCATGGCTTTGCTGGGATCCCCACTGCATGGGGCGAGGGGGACTGTCATTGCCTGCTGGGGGAATGACAGTATGTTGCCTGGAGGCTTTCCCTGCTGCAATGGGGTGCCAAGCCAGGTAAGTGTCCCTCCTCATGCCCAGACCTTGTACCAAAATCCCCTTCGCTCACTCCCCTCCCCCTGCCAAGACCCCACCCTTCCAGCTTGCTCTGATACCCACCCTTGCTCCTGCACTCTCCCGCCTGGCCAGACTCCCTACCCCAAACCTCCTCCTGCATCCTCCCTTCTGTCCAGAGACCCTATCCGCAACCTGTCTCTGCTCCCTACCTCTGACCCAGACCTCACAACCTCGTCCTCTTCTGCACACCCCCTGCTGCCCATATCCTGCACTCCATCCCTATCCCACACACTGGCAGCCCTGTCCTGCACACTGAACCCCATTTTTTCTCCCCACATCAGAGACTAAGGGGGGGCATAAAATCCACTAACTCTGGAACGTCAGAAAAGTAAATCTTGCATATGGAAAGCTCTGAACTAGGGATATTAGGAAGTACTCGACTACCCAATAAGCAAAAGCTTATTGAGTAGTCAAGTAGAGTATCAAATACTTGCTCTTCCCCCACCCCCTTGCTGCCTCTGAGAGGCAACAAGGAGGGGGAAATAGCTGGTGCTGGGGGAAGCCAGCTTAAAAGCTGGTTCCACCCGTAACATCTCAGTGGTGCTACCTGCCCCAGCACCTGCTGCAGGGGAGGCTGCTACGAAGCAGCTTCTGTCTGCCGCAGGCTGAGGCTCATCATGGGCAGAGGCTGCTTGGGCAACAGCCCCATCCATGGTGGTTCCAACAGGGAGCTGGGGCTCCCACGGACAGGGGCTGTTGCTGCCAAGCAGCCCCTATTCATGGTGGTCTAGGCTACCTGCTGTGAACAGGGGCCGCTGGTCGCTGCGTCTCTGCATTTTAAATATAGTAAGAGTAAGGGTGGCTCCCAGAGCTGGCACAAGCCAGGACTGCTGAGTCCCAGCTCGAGCTGGCTTCTGAAGCTACCCCACTGTGGCATGGCACTACAGAGCGACACTTATCGACTAATCACAATTAGCCCGATAACCGCAATTTAACATCCTTATCTTGAACCTCATTCCTCTCTGTCCCATCCCCTTGCCCTGTAGGGTTAGGATGCAAGAGGAGTGAGGTGTCGTAGTTGGGGGCCAGATAAGTGAGGGTTGGGGTTTTTTGGAGTCTTTTTGCTTCTCACTTGTGTGGTCCCCAGCTGATTTTTCTGCGGGTCAGTGGCCCCCAACCCAAAAAAAGATTCCTCACCCCTGCAATAAATAACACATTGAAGCTTTCTGTGTTGGTCATAAATTCATATTTTACTTTATTTAAAATGAAGTTTGATAAACTAATACAAGAATGTTAAATCACTTAATTTAATAATTTGAATTAAACCATTCTCCCTAGCTAAAGCACTAGCAAAATTACTCAAGCATAATTATATAATTAACAGTGAGTTTCCATTAGCAACTGGCGGTCCACAGAAAGGTTTACATTGAGCCAGGTGGTTCACGGGCCAAAAAGTTTGAGAACTACTGAATAGAGGCATCCCCAGCCTCTCCCCTGAATTAATGCAATGCAAGATTGATTAATGCAACTGCAGTATAGTTGTATGGGAGGATCCTGTGGGGTCCAAACCCCCATCCCTATTAACAGAGGATAGTGGGAGGACTTCTTAGAGGGGGGTCACACAACACCCTTTACTTCCAGTCACATGTCCATCTTAGCCCCAGAGGTACTACCTCCAGGGTTGGGACTTTGTGACTGGTGAGTGGGGCCTAAGGGATGAGGGGTGTGTGGCTAATGAGTCTGGGGGCATGGCTAAAGGGTCCCTATTTTTGGTTCAGAAAATATGATAACAGTAACTATATGGGATGTAATGCAGTCTGCTTAATAAGCATGAACATTAAAAAGAGAACAATTGTTCATTAAAAATGTAAATCAATGATGACTTAATACGGCAATGTTATTTAATGCAAAGCTTTGTACTTGTTTATGAAAATGGAGAAATTATATTTTAATATATTTTTTCACAAAATTACTATTAAATAGGGAAATTATAGGCTGGTTAACTTTTTTCTATCCATTCTCTCTGAAAATTAGGTGTTATTTTCACCAGCTAGGAAAGAACAAGGGCAAGATTGGTACGATGGATGAATCTACAGAGGTATCAATTGATGGGAACTCTCTTATAAAAGCTGTCTATCAAAGCAGACTTCGTCTCACAAGACTGTTATTGGAAGGTGGAGCATACATTAATGAGAGTAATGACCGAGGTGAAACACCTTTAATGATTGCTTGTAAGACACAGCATGTTGACCAACAGAGTGTTAGCAAAGCAAAAATGGTTAAATATCTGCTGGAAAATAAGGCAGATCCAAATATACAGGACAAGTCTGGAAAGACAGCTTTGATGCATGCATGCTTGGAAAAGGCTGGCTCTGAAGTGGTTACTTTGTTGCTGAAAAATGGAGCTGACTTAAGTCTACAAGACCATTCTGGTTACTCTGCACTTGTTTATGCAGTAAATTCTGAAGACAAAGAGACCTTGAAAGTTCTCCTAAATGCTTGTAAAGCAAGAGGAAAAGAAGTAATCATCATTACAACAGACAAATCTCCATCTGGAAGGCAGACAACTAAACAGTACTTAAATGTGCCTCCTACTGACACTGAAGACTGCCATTCTCCAACTGCTTGCACTTCTCCATCAGAAATAGAACTCAAGTCATCTTTATCTCCACTTTCAAATTCATGTGAAACAGAAAATCCTCTTTTTAGCTTTAAAGAACTAGATCAGCCTGGAAGCATTGAAAATATATCTGAACCACTTTCTCCTACTGGAAAACCAAATTTAACACATGTAGGACCCAAGTTGGCACAAGTGCAGCGTCTGCATTCTGAGACTTGGATAAAAAGTTCATCTTTGTTCCATCAGAATAAAATTTCCTCTTTACAAGAACTTCAGGATATAACTCCAGAGGAAGAACTGTCTCTGAAAATCAATGGTCTAGCCTTATCCAAGAGATATATTACTAGACACCAAAGCATTGATGTAAAAGACACTGCACAATTGTTGAAAATATTTGATCAAACTGGCTCAAGAAAGTTGTCATGTGAAGAGATAAATTCTCAATCACTGTATGCTGAGGGAAACCATAGCCAGAGTGAAATTCCTGTGGATCAGGATTTGGATTCAGTCCAAATGAGATTTGTTTCAACCTTGAGAAGTATTTTTCAAAAAAGAAGTTTAGGGGCAAATCACTACAGCTCTGATTCTCAGCTAACAAGTAGTTTAAGTCCTGCTATTACAGAAGATGGTAAATCATTTCTAGGAAAGAAAAAGATTCTCTCTCCTTCTTCATCCTTGTTATCAAGTTCCAGAGAATTACTAGAGAACATGCCTCCTGGTCCTCTGAATAGGAGAAGCCATGCTATTTTAGAGAGACGAGGGTCAGGAGCTCTCTCGTTGGATCATATTGCTCATACCAGGCCAGGTTTCCTTCCACCTTTAAATGTGAATCCTCATCCTCCAATTCCAGATATTAGTTTTAGCAACAGGATTTCTGGAATTGTTTCTTTAGGACAAAAAAACCTAATTCCTACAGCACCCACTTTTCCCAAGGAGTTTAAAAGTAACAAAATGTTGGTAAGGAGACAATCATTACAAACTGAACAGATTAAGCAATTAGTGAATTTTTAACAGGTTACTAACGTGTTAACAGATCTTCAGGGGGTAGCCGAGTTAGTGTGTACAGGTAAACTGAAAAAACCACAAGTAGTCTGGTAGCACTTTATTGACTAACAAAACATGCAGATGGTGTCATGAGCTTTCGTGGGCACGGCCCACATCTTTACAGATGTATTCATTTAGCATAAATATACCAAAAAACACATGACCCATGCATAATGCTTAACATGGGACTCTTAGATGGACTCAGATTAGATTCATCTTAGATTTAGCAGATAAGTGTGCTCAGATAAATTTACACTGATTCTATAGTCTGAAAAATGACAAATATTTATAATAGAAAAAATACTAAGGGCCTGTCTGAGTCCCTGTGACCCAATACTTTGAGTCATTGACACAAGATTTGATAGAATTTCACACCGTTAGTACTCATTTTTCACAAATGTAAATGACTACATAAAGTGCAGAGAAATGGAGAATTAAGTTATATGATAGCTATTCTCTACCTACAGTGATGGAATTATTATCAGGAGTTGATATTAGAAGAAGTTACAAACCCATAAAGAGCAGAATAGTTTTAATGTGGGAAAATTATACAACGTAGCTACAATTCTAAAGTAAAACAGACTACAAAACTGATTCAAAATAATGTACAATTCATGTGTTTATTAAGCAACAGCTTCAGTTTAATTCAATCAATGTAGTGCATTTCTCAATCATCTGAATTATTTTAAACACTGCATATTAGATAATGGAGTAACTTATTGCTAAACAAATAAATGGATAACTGTTTCAGCATGAGCTGGACTAAATTGTCATAATTTAAGATTTCCAAAACGTGTGCTGCTTTTTCACTTAAAGTTCAGATTCTGCCTTTGTTAACATTAATTCTATGGCTACTCTAGGATTTGGCTCTTAGTGTCATTTTTATCACCTCACTTCTAAGAATCTGTACATTATTGTTTTATTTTCACATTTTATACAAATGAATCTTTTATTCTTATGGAACATGGTGATTGTGAATTACACTGAAACTAGATCCTTCTAGAATAATCAGTAGATATTTGTGGTGTTGCAGCTTTAGTCCTAATGCACATAGAATCAATGTTTTCTAAAAATATTTAATGTTAGTTATTTTTGCCATCTGTATTAAGTTTCAAATAGATGATAAACATACATTCCCTATCATCTCCTTTGATGCAAAAACACTTGCTCCCCTGGACAAAGAAATATTAGTCACATGGAAAAGATAGGGGTATAGTTTGCATTCATGCAGAATCTAACAGTCTGTAGCAAATGCTGGCCTCAAACCCCACAGATTTTAGAGCATAGCATCAGCTTTTCTACACTCTGAGCCTGGGCCCTCTAATCCATGGCAGCATGACTGCCTGGGTGGCCAAGTGATATTGTCATGGATTCCTATTCCTTGGCTATATCCTAGCCTTCCTAAGAGCAGCTAGGATGAGAACTGTGATTGGTATAAGTACTGGTGACTGAGGAGAGTATACATTGTAGAAATCTGATCCCTTCTTTCTACCATATCTAACTGTATTCAAGAATGATTGCCACATTTGTCCTTAACTTTGCACAAATGACTTCTGCTCTGAAAAATGTGTGTGTGTTTTAACAGCTTTTTTCAAAGCCAGTGTTTTGATCCAGACCATTCTTCCAATGAAAAGCTCGTCACTTGCAGTTTGGTAAGTCAAGCACTCCACTATTAGGCAACTATAATTCTGAAATTTCCCATGGATTTCATAGCATTGGCTAACACCTGAGGACTCAGAAATCAGAATAAGAAGACTGGAAGGGACCTTGAGTGCAGTCTCCTGCACTCATGACAGGGCCAAGCAACATCTAGACCATTCCTGACAGGTGTTTGTCTAACTTGCTCTTAAAAATCTCCCATGATGGAGATTTCACAACCTCCCTGGGCAACTTATTCCAGTGCTTAACTACCCTAATAAGGATATTTTTCTTAATGTCCAACGTAAACTACCCTTGCTGCAATTTAAGCCCATTGCTTGATTTCTTCTCCATATCTTTCCTGAAATTTTTGCCCAAGTTGGATGCAATACTCTAATTGAGGTCTAATCAGCCCAAAGTGAAGACGACTTACTTGTCATGATCTGTGGAACGGGACTTCTGGGTCCGATTTATTTTGCATGGGCCCATCCTGGGTGGGTGCTCAGCATGATGGAATTGCATGGCCCAAATTATCACTTTTGGCTGCTGTTTGATCTCTAGTCTCCTTGTTGTTGGGGAAGAAATAATAAAGGGTTCTTATCCATGTGAGAATTGAGGTAGCAAAACTGTACTGGGCATACCCGGATGGAGGGATTCACCCTCAACTAAACAGCACTCACTAGGCACAGGACCTGGTTTTCAAAGCCCCAGTAGGTTGAAAAAATTGTGACGACAGGTGTTTGTACCTGGAGATGTTAGGTTAGGCACTATTTGACCCTTTCTCTCTATATAGTATGATAACCGTTAATTTAGACTCAAAGTATCTTGTTTACATTCGGCAGAGCTGAAATCACTGATGCCTAGGTTGTAGGTATAGTCCAATGTCTTTGATGCAAGAAGACTGCCAAGTGAGGTTCCCCCAACAACAGCTGAGAACACTCAGAGCAGTGCTATAAGTAAGGTGTCCTGAAGACATCTTGGTGAATGGCCAGCTGAGTGGTTGGTGGAGAGGCATGACCAGCAGGGCAGCTGACAGGGAGGTAGGTCTGGCAAGGAGCAGCACAGCCAGCAGCAGGGCAACTGGTGATCCATGATCTGCAAGTCGTCCAGTGGCACTGGAGGCTGCATATGTCATCAGTTGGTTTGTATTTATTGTGGATATTTATTAAAAGATGGGGTCCATCAGTAATCTATACTATGGCGGCATTCTCTATTTAGATCAACAGCCCAAACATAGATTTAGTTCATAATAATTGTTGAAAGGTATTCTCAAGAAATCCGTTGAGAGCCCAAAAGTTTCATTCTCAAGGTTAGAACTGAGATGAGAGTGGCTCTGACTCCCCTTCCAATGGGAGATGATAATGGTTCTAGAAGCAGGGAGAAATATCTAAGTAGGGAACTTAATTGTGTTTTACATGCACGTAAAATAAGTGAAACTTTTTCACATTTTTTCATAGAAACAGTTTAAGCTGAAAACACTTTTTTTCTTCCTAGAGTCAATAATTCTCAAATGTAAACATGGAGGAAGCATTGGATTTGATGCAATACAATACTTCAGATGTGGGCTCACCAGTGCCAAATACAAGGCAATAATCACTTCCCTCAATCCATTGACAATGCTCCTACTAATGTAGCCCAATAAACCATTGGCCTCATCCACCATTATTGCTAAGTCCTTCCCTGCAGAACTGACCCATAGCCAGCCTGTAGCAGTGCATAGGATTCTTCAGTCCAAAGTGCATTTGTGCTTGTTGAACCTCATCAGATTTTTTTGGCTGTCCTCCAATTTGTCTACATCACACTGGACCCTATCCCTACCCTGCAGCATCTCTACCTCTCTCCCCAGTTAAGTGTCCTCTGTGACCTTGCTGAAGGTGCATTCCAACCCATCATCCAGATCATTAATGAAAGTGTTGAAACAAAATTAGCCCCAGGAACAACCCCTAGGGCACTCTACTTGATACCGGCTGCACTATGGACTTTAAGTCAGATGATCTATCCACCTCATAGTCCGTCCATCCATCCAATGCATACTACTTTAACTTGCTGCCAAAAATACTGTGGGACACTATCAAAAGCTTTGCTATAGTCAAGATACATCATGTTCACCACTTTCCCCAATTCACAGAACCAATTAAGTCACAGAAGGCAATCATTTTGCTTAGGCATGACTGGACTGTTCCTAATCACCTTCTTTCTCCTCCAAGTGCTTAAAAATGGTTTCCTTGAGGACATGCTCCATGATTTTTCCATGGACCAAGGTGAGGCTAATTGGTCTGTAGTTCCCCAGTTTCTCCTTCTTCCCTTTTTTAAAGATGGGCACTATTCTTCTCTTTTTCCAATCATCTGGGACCTCTCTCAATCACCAAGGCTGTGTCTAGACTTCATCCCTCTTCTGTAAAAGGGATGCAAATTAGACATCGCAATTGCAAATGAAATGGGGATTTAACCCCCCCCCCCCCGCTTCATTAGCATAAAAATGGCTGTTGCTTTTTTCCGGCTCGGAGCTTTTCTGGAAAAAAGTGCCAGTCTAGACGCGGATCTTTCAGAAAATAAAGCCTTTTCCGAAAGATCTCTTATCCCTTATTTTAAGAGGAATAAGGGATCTTTCGGAAAAGGCTTTATTTTCCAAAAGATC